GTGATGGTGATTATGATGATGATGCTGGTGATAATTATGACGATGCTGATGATAATTATGACGATGCTGATGATGATAATGCTGGTGGAAGCAACAACTGACACATACTAAGTGCTTACTGTGTGCCAGGCAACCTCTTTTAACTGAGGTATAATTTACATACAATAAAAGGGATAGGTTTTAAGCGTACAGCTCAGTGAATTGATAAATGCATATACCTGTGTAATTGCTACCTCAGTCAAGGTACAGAACAAGGTACATCGCCCCAGAAACTTCCCATGTACCCCTTTGCCACCAAGATCCCATTACCCCTCCATAGGAAACCCACGTTCTGGTTTTGCCACCATCAATTACTTTAGCCATGCCCTGTGTAAGTGCTTTACACACAGCACAAATTTATTTTATGTCCCACTACAGCCCGAAGAAACAGGGACCACTTTCATCCCCATACCTAGGGAGATTCATACAACTAATCATAGGAGAGCCATGGCTCAAAATGAGGCAGACGGCTTCTGGGAGCTCACTTGAACCACTAAGACAAATATAATATTTTGGGGGTCAAGTGAAGTAACCTTCCCTGTCACCCGCTTAGAGTCTCTGACTGGGACTGACATAAGACAGATTAACAAGATAAAACATACACATTTTATTTAGTTGAGGATTTTTGTTTATTTTTAGAGACAGTGTCTCACTCCATCGCCCAGGCTGGAGTACAGTGGCACAATCATAGCTCACTGCAGCCTGCAATTCCTGGGCTCAAGGAGTCCTCCCTCTTCAGCCTCCTGAGTAGCTGGGACTACAGGTGTGCACCACCGTGCCTGGCTAATTTAGCAGTTAGTTGCTTGGTGTCTCTTCAGGCTAATTCAACAACCCCATACTGCGGCGGAACCCTGGGCCAGAGTTTGGAGGAATGTGAAGACTTCAGAGGCGACTTTCATGCAGCCTCTGGAAAGCTCCCAGGATAAAGGGGAAACCCATATTCGATAACCTCAACTTTCCATGGCCCAGCTCAGAACACCACCAGCTGGAGGTAGGTGGTCTGAAGAAATCCAGAGACCACCTGGAGGGGGTGGGGTATTGAGTTCCATTGCCTTTGGGAGGGAGAGATTCCACAGCCCACATACTTTGCACTTTAGCCAAGGTCAACCCCTCCACCTGTGCCGTCGACCTCATTGTCACTTGTTTGCTTAAGGACATAGATCTAGTAATCCCCTGCCTTCATCTCAGGACATAGATCTAGTAATCCCCTGCCTTCATCTCAAGGACATAAATCTAGTAATCCTGCCTTCATCTCAAGGACATAGATCTAGTAATCCCCTGCCTTCATCTCTTTTCCCTCTGATGACTCGATTATCCCCGTCATCATCCATACTGCTATTTCTCCCATCTAAAACACAAGGAAAAAATAATAATAATAGGAGGGTAAAGTGAGAACTTTACCTTTATATTATTACCGGTAGTAGCAGTATTTATTTTATTTTTTATTTTTGAGACAGTCTCGCTCTGTCGCCAGGCTGGAGTGCAGTGATGTGATCTCAGCTCACTGCAACCTCTGCCTCCTCCCAGGTTCTAGTGATACTCCTGCCTCAGCCTCCCGAGTAGCTGGGACTACAGGTGCACGCCACCACACCCAGCTAATTTTTGTGTTTTTAGTAGAGACGGGGTTTCACCATGTTGGCCAGGATGGTCTCGATCTCCTAATCTTGTGATCGGCCTGCCTCGGCCTCCCAAAGTGCTGAAATTACAGGCGTGAGCCACCACACCTGACCCCCCTTTACATTATTAAAAATAATAATAGTAATGATAGGACGGTAAAGGAGTGGAAGATTTTGCAGGATTGGACTCTAGTTGGTTCACATCACTTTTTATCTGCATCCTTGGACAGTCCTCTTCAAAGCTGACTCTGGGTTTGGCCATGGGACTTACTTTGGGCAACAGGACAGTAGCAAATACCACATGAGCAGAAGTTTGGAAAACATTTGCATTTGGGGGCGTTTTGTTTCTTCCGACTGGGTGTCCTTGCAACCACCACCATACGAACAAGCCTCAGCCTCCTGGAAGATAAGCAATCCTGGCTCTCCCAGCAGAGGCCTCAGCACAGGAGCGAGGCTGCTCCTGGAAGAACCACCCAACCAACACATAGAACTGTAAGAAACAGGCCAGGCACCGTGGCTCATGCCTGTAATCCCAGCACTTTGGAAGGCCGAGGCGGGCAGATCACTTGAGATCAGGAGTTTGAGACCCGCCTGGGCAACATGGCGAAAACCCATCTCTACTAAAAATACAAAAATAGTAATAATAATGATAATAATAATAAGGCTGGATGTGGTGGCTCATACCTGTAATCCCAGCACTTTGGGAGGCCGAGGTGGGCGGATCACCTGAGGCCAGGCTGGCTTGAGACCAGCCTGGCCAACGTGGTGAAACCCCATCTCTACTAAAAATACAAAATTAGCTGGGCATGGTGTGCATGCCTGTAATCCCAGCTACTCGGGAGACTGAGTCAGGAGAATTGCTTGAACCCAAGAAACAGAGTTGCAGTGAGCCGAGATCGCACCACTGTCCTCCAGCCTGGGTGACAGAGCGAGACTCTATCTCAAAACACAAACAAACACACATTAAAAAAAAAAGAAAGAAAGAAAGAAAAAGAGAGAAGAAAAGAAATAAATGGTTGCTGTTTTAAGCCACTAAGTTCTAGAGCTGTAGCAAAAATTAACATGTGAAGTGACGTGACTCATTCGAAAGCATTCAAGGAACAGAAGGTGAGGAGTCTGTCTCCTAACCCACTACACTCCGCACTGTGCATGATAGCTCAAGACTGTTCAAAAGGCTTTCAATCCCATGGTCGAACCCATGGTCACTCACCTGTCCACCCAACCTGGGAACAGGTGTCCACTCCTGGGATGACATTGACAGTATTTAACGTGTGAGTTTCCCGCATGTCAGAATAGAGCAAGATCTTGAAGGTTCATTGGTATTCTCGGAGTGAACCCTTGAGTGGTTGCACCATGGGGAGGTCTGGGAGCCCTTGGGGAAGCGCTTACTTACCAAATAGTATGGAAATAGTGCAATATTTAAACCGCCAGTTTGGTCATACCGGTATGTCCCTGCGAGTCATCAACTCCGCTGGTAGCAATTATTTAACCTCTTTTCATGTGTGGAAGAATCTAGGTGTTTTTCTCCTCTAAAAAAAAGGTACCCACAAATTCCAAGAGGTTTTCCTTCCACACAACCCAACTCATAGACACATCCTCCCACCACACGACAGGTCCTTACTGGGACACCACACAAAAACAAGCGTATTCTCAGATAATTTAATCAGAATTTTAATATAAACAGGTCATTATCCCATATTTTACATGCAGAACGATTTCAATATTCCAAAAAAAAAAAAAAAAGGCATCTTCTGTACATGGTGCTACTTGGCTCTTGTAGGAAAACATTGAAAAAATAATAATGGAGCTGTTGGTGGGTTTTGTGTTTCCGAGTTGTTTTCTGCAAAAGCTGCAGCACATTTGATCCTGCGTTGCCCACACGCAGGGCTGAGGCCACCCAGGCACACAAAGGGACGAGGAGCAGCAACTTTGAGGCAAAGTGTAAAGACTAAACAAGCTGTTCCTGAATATGTGCATGGATGCACACTTATTTTGAGGCTCTTCCTTCCTTCTCCAATGGGACCAACAGCCCCAGATCTGGTTTTTAACAAGGATTTTCAGTGGCCCACACCCAGATAGAAATTTGGCTGGTGGCTGGTTCTGGACACTGACTGGGATCAGAAGGTAACAGTAAGCTCAAAAAGCCGTTGTGTCCCCTTCCCCCAACCCGATTTCTTGAGGACCCTTAAGGAAATAGTCACCTTCTGTTGCAGCCCCTTGAAAGTCCACCATGTTCTTTTGTATGTTCTAGGGAAAAAAAAAAAAAGTGCTGACCTGTTCTTTTCATTTCCAACCTCACCTCTCATATAAATTAATATTCTGAAGAACATGCTAGAAGATTTTCTGAAGTGACACCCCTCTATGTGTACCACGAATATAAAATCGGCATTCCCTGTTCCCCATCCTCAACAAAACCATCGTTTCTGAAGAGCCTAAGGTGTCAAGGACTCACCAGGTGGCATGCAAAGGACATTTAACCCTAAACTTCCACCCACCGTGAAGTAGAGAAATGATTACCGCTGGGACTACAGCACATCCGTTTACCAGGATGGCCAGCGCAAGTCATACCCCTGATGATGCTCCTGCTTGTCCACAAGTGTTACAGGGGACTACAAATAAACACTTCCCAACCCAATAAACACATTTCTTGGTGGACTACCTGCCCTGGTAGGATACAGGGAAAGATCTGTCCATCAATTGGTAACAGTCCCCAGGGTCGCAGGATGACCTGTGCAGACCCTTATGTCAGTTCCCACAGCTTCTCTCCGTCGTCCTCAGCCTATATCCAGACAAGCAGCAGTGCTCCTCCTTCTCACTACTTCCAATGACGGAACAGCACCTAGGACAGCTCCCGAAACCTGAACATTTTCTGATGCGTATTTGACATCATCAATGCAGAGAGGAAGAGTGATGTGCTTATATTATCTCCTGGAAGAGAAACTCGCTGTGCTTCAGCGGTTAGATGAAAAGCAACTGAACATGAGAGTCACTTGGACTCGGGAAGGGGAACATCACCACCGGCGGCGCTATCATGGGAGAGGGGGAGGGGGAGGGAATTGCATTGGAGTTAGTGACTGATGTAAGATGACGAGTTGATGGCGTGCAGCACCACCCATGGCCAAGTGATACAGTATGGTAAAAAACCTGCACGTGTATGGGCATGTACTACAAATTGGAAGTTATGAATATAAGATAAATCTAAAAAAAAAAAAAAAAAAAAAAGAAAGGCTTTTAATCATAGTGAGAATCTTTAAAAAAACAGCAACAAAAGTGTAACCCTAAGCTGGTTTTGTTGCTTTTTGTTGTTGTTGTAATTTAACACTACAAACTCCCAGGACAACCATGTCTTTCTAGGACCAAAGTTTTATTGTTACAAAGTCAGCATTTCCTAATGTCAAAAGAGGCTTGCAACCCAAGAGCTGTTTGCTCTTTTCACTGTGGCAGTAGAGTCAAATAAATGAAACTGGTGAACCCCATTTGCAAGGGGCAGGCCCCAGCACCCTACCTTTCTCCAGGGCGGGTGGAGAAAGGTGAGTCTGCAAGGGCAGTGCCTAAAAGTACCAGAGCAGCAAGATTTGGGCCCCACTGGCCCTGCCTAGACTCTTGCATGGGTTATCAAAGCTGCACAAGGTTCAACAATATCAGCTTGAGGTCAATCAAACCCCAACACAGAGGTCCAAGGTGTTGTTGCAAAAAAAAAAAAAAAAAAGTGTTCAGCACATTAATGGGTTTTGGGTTGGAATTTCCCGCACATGCTCCCATCCCACTTGGAGAATTTTAAAAGACATTGTGTTAGGTGTTTGTGTGTGAGGTGTATCACCAGCCTGAAAGGAGTGGGGATAAACCATCAGGGAGCCCAGGGCACCTTTGTGCTCACTTCAGGGGAATTCCACGGAACAGGTGGGAATGCTTGTTCTGAATCAAAGCCCGTCTTTGCCCCTGCAGCCGTCTCTCACCAAAGGAAGGTACACCTTGCGGGCGTACCTCCTATATCAGATACATCATGATGGCCTGGAACTTAGTTTATGCTTGGGGAACATAGTGACAATAGATGGAGGATTTTTTTTTTTAAAGGAAGATTAAATTCAGAGAAGAATATTACCAGCCAAGGAAGAAAAGGATCTATGCTCACATAAAAGCCATACCTTCTCCATCCCAACTCCCTCCCTCAAAATTCTTGCTGGTCCCTGGCATTCGAATCAGCTGATACACATGTTCCCTGATTCAGACCAGTTCCAGGTAGAATTCTGAAATCTCAAAGATGTCTGTGATTGAATCACATCTTAACAATACACTGAGGTAGACTGTGCTGAAAAACAAAAATCACTATCCCCCATTCACCTGTTTATTTTTCTTTGATAAAAATTTACATGCGCTCCGTTTTTTATGAGAGTGATTTTCAGAGTGATTTTATATATTAAAATAAATACTTTTTCCCCTAATATAAGAAAAACCTTTCTGAATTAGAAAAATGTGAAAATTGCAGCTAGTGTAGTATACAACCACTACAAATTTACTAGGAAGAGAACAAAATACCTAGATCTACGTGTGTTTTTTTTTAAATTTACGTACAGACCCTCATATTTACAAAATAAATTTGGCAAAAATAATTTCTGTACTCTTGCTTCTTGTACCCAATCACTGAGGCGTCTCAGCAATATTTTTACATGCTGTAATTTCTCGAATCATATAAATAAGATAGCAATAGACAATTGGGATTCGTGTCTACCTGTGTTCTTAATCAAGAATTGAGAGGGCTTGGAGGTTGCCATGATGACTCGATCCCATTCTTACGCCCACAACTCTTAAGAGAAGAAAAGGAAGCAGTCAAAAAGTTGTAAGAAAATGCACTCGGGAATAACGCATGGGTGATGATTTTCTGATGAACCAAAGTGATGAGTTCACTGTGTTCTTTGAGCAGCTGTGGTGGTTCTTTTCACAAAGAGAAGAAACGGTGGATTCATGCCCATTCGGAAGTTCTTGGTGGTGTGAAAGGTCTTTTTCACGGTTTCTCCTCCAGACTCTACTCTCTTAGGGACTGCAACATCGTAAGCGTCTGCGCATTCTGCTCAGGCACCACACCTGGCCCAGATGAGGTCTCTGGGCTCAGAGCAGCTTCCGGGAGTTCAGTACTGAGGACCGTCGGATGCTCTCAGGGTGGAGGGGAGCAAGATGTACTCTCAGTGCACCTCTCTCTTATATTGCTTAGATGTTCCCAAAATCCATCCAGGTTGTTGCTCTTTGGGATCTGATGTTCTTGTGTTTGCACAATAACGGTAGGATGTTCACACCCAGGAGAGGAAACGCCACGAGAGGTACACACAGAGAACCAGGGGATGAACACGGGTGTTCTTGAAGGCAGGCTCAGAGCTAGGTAGCTACCAGCTTATCCAAACAGGAACCTTCCAGCAGACCCGGTGCCTGAACGAGCCCATCCACAAAACCTAGTCTCCGACACACTCCACGTGGCCTCACAGTGTCCAAAAGTGTTAGCAGCGAACGTGGCTTCATTCCCAGAAATGGATGCCTTTAAGACCAAACAAAGAGGCCACTTGTGCCTCACTCCCTCCCCTTCCCGGCCCCACAACAGGCAGACCAACTCATGTCTCCACTCCCCGCCAACCCCGGGGAATAGTCAATAACTTATGAGGCTAATACCAGAGACTTTAAAAATTAAATATGTTACAAATATATTCTCAAAACTCTGTCATCTCAGTTCTTCCTTTTTTTTTTTTTTTCCTTTTTCTATTTTGTTTTTCCTTTCTTTCTTTTTTAATGTCCTAGCTTGGTTTGGTCTTGAAAAGATTCATAATCACTCCAAATGAAATGTTCCTCCCTTGGCTCCCAAAAAGCATCTTTCCACCAACGTGAAAGGAGGGTAGAAACCTGAGGCTAGACTTCTGACACAAGAAGAATCTGTCGAGAGCACAGTCTCCCAGTCGATAAGAAGGAAGGAGAGAGGGGGACATGAGCTCACACCCTTGAGAAGAACCTTCATGAGCCAATTCCCAAAGCATCAACTCCGCAAGGATACTTTGCACACACATCAGCCGTGTCGAATGGACACACACACGGATACACACGTGAGCACACACCGGGACCACAGACCCTTATCCAAAGTATGAAAGCAGCAGCTATTGGTCAATTTGAGGAACTGATCTTGTAAAGAAAAAAAAAAAAAGAAATCCTTCAGCCTGGATGAGGGGGAAAAAAAAAAAAGCCTTCTTGAAGCCCAACCTGTAAAGCTTGAAATTCTCCTGGAACAGGGCTGGGTATTTTTGTTTTGTTTTTTTTCTTTCAAACTTTTGTTCCACAGACAAGAAGTTTTATCTTTTATACTGCAGCTCAGACACCAGCAAAAAACAAAAACAAAAACAAAAAGAATTTGTAAAAACAAGTGCTGTCTTTCCATCTGCTGGGGGGACGGGGAGAAAAACAAAAAGACACAAAATCCTGGTTTGAAACCGTCGTTGCTCCAAAAGGGCAGCAGTTAAATCCTCTGCGGGACTAGTTAAATTGGCAACCAAACGAGTCCATCTTAAGATGAACAGAAATGTATAGGAACGATCTCTGAACTCCATTGGACATGGTAGAGTCGTGAGAATCCTGAGTTTTCCAGAGGCTTTCAAACCAGAGGAAAGTGACAATGGGAACCCCTGCCCGTCCCCGCCGCGGTAGGCACTGTTAGGAAGGATTGGACCGAGGCAAGGTCAGAATCCGCCCGTTTTTCTTGCCTCCGTTCATGTGGGTGTAAGGGATGTGTTCCTCGTAGCTCCGCTTGAAACCCAGCGAGGACCCTCCATCCCGGCCCCCCGCCTCCTCCCTCTGACAGTGCGAGGAACGGTCCAGGGGCACGTTCTCCATGTCCTCAAACTCCATCTCCAGCTCCTCATTCTCGGGAGCCTTGTTCTCCTCGCTATGAAAGAAAGACACCTCCGGAAAGCTGGGGTGCAGGTCGTCCTTGAGCAGGTTGACGATCTCCAGGAAGGTTGGCCTCATCTTGGGGTTGAATTGCCAGCACATGCGCATGAGGTCAGTGCTGCGGGGCAGAAGGACACGTCCTGGGTGAGTCTAGGGGCCCAGCCAAGCATCCTCCCAACCCCGCCCTCGTCCTGCGGCCAACACCCACGGACCACACGTGTTCACATCAGATGCTGGCTGTGTGTGTGGACAATTGTCAAGGCAGAAATAGCAATGCTAGAGGTTCTGAGAGATGGCGTTTTCTTTTTGCTTTTCTTCTTTTTGTGGACACAGGGTCTCATTCTATTACCCAGGCTGGAGTGTAGTGGCATGATCATAGCTCACTGCAGCCTCTGCCTCCTAGGCTCAAGCAATCCTCTCACCCAGCCTCCCAAGTAGCTGGGACCACAAGTGTGCACCACCATGCCTAGCTAATTTTTCTGTTTTGCAGAGACAGGGTTTTGCTATGTTGCCCAGGCTGGTCTCAAACTCTAGGCTCAAGTGATCCACCCACCTTGGCCTCCCAAGATGCTGGGATTACAGGTGTGAGCCACCATGCCTGGCCACTTTTTTTTTCTTTTTCTTTTTTTTTTTTTGAGACAGGGTTTCTCACGTTGTCACCCAGGATGGAGTGCAGTGGCACAATCATAGCTCATTGCAGCCTTGAACCCCTGGGCTCAAGCAATCCTCCTGCCTCAACCTCCCAAAGTGCTGAGATTACAGGCATGAGCCATCCTGTCCAGCCTGAATTTTTTTTTTTTTTTTTTTTTTGAGACAGAGTCTCGCTCTGTCGCCCAGGCTGGAGTGCAGTGGCGCGATCTCGGCTCACTGCCAGCTCCGCCTCCCAGGTTCACGCCATTCTCCTACCTCAGCCTCCCGAGTAGCTGGGACTACAGGCGCCCGACACCACGCCCGGCTAATTGTTTGTATTTTTAGTAGAGACAGGGTTTCACCGTGTTAGCCAGGATGGTCTCGGTCTCCTGAATTCATGATCTGCCCGCCTCGGCCTCCCAAAATGCTGGGATTACAGGCGTCAGCCATTGTGCCCGGCCGAAAGATGGTTTTGAAAAGGGTTGCCTCATTTCAAAACTGGATCAAGAGTAATCCCAGCACTTTGGGAGGCTGAGCCAGGAGGCTGAGTCCAGGAGTTCAAGGTTGCAGTAGCTGTGATTGCAGCACTGCACTCTACCAGCCTGGGTGACAGAGCGAGACTTCATCTAAATATATATATATGTACATTTGGAGGGGGGAATACATAATATGTATGCCTGACAAAATTTTTGTGTGTCTGTGTTTGTTTTTGAGACAGAATCTCGCTCTGTCACCCAGGCTGCTGTGCAATGGCGCAGTCTCTGCTCACTGCAACTTCTGCCTCCCAGATTCAAGCAATTCTCCTGCCTCAGCCTCCTGAGTAGCTGGGATTACAGGTGCCCACCACCACACCCAGGTAATTTTTATATTTCTAATAGAGATGGGGTTTCACCATGTTGGCCAGGCTGGTCTTGAACTCCTGACCTCAGGTGATCTGTTCGCCTCGGTCTCCCAAATTGCTGGGATTACAGCCACCCATTCCCAGCCACGTGACAAAATTTTCAGCGTATAAATAATTAACAGCCAAACATAGGTCTCGCTCCCCCGACCCCAGGTCTCCAGTTCCCTTCTCCCAAGATAACTACTGCTACGGGTTTCTTGTGCAACATTCCAACTATACAATATGCAAGAAAATCTTACGATTTGTGAACACAAGCATGCCAGTAAAGACATAATATGTAAACAAGCACATATGTAAACACGTGTGCTTATAAAGATACGTAAACAAGGTGTACATGTGCCATATGCTGATGCACATGTAAACATACAGTATGCAAACATAAATACCTATGTAAATATATAATATGCAAACAAGCATCCATGTAGCACATATGGAAACTCAAGTGTGTGTACCACCATGCAATATGCAAATGCAAACACGTATGTAAAGACAAGCTATGCAAACACACACACACCTGTAACATATAGCATGCAAACACAGTGAGCGTGTAGGCATAGGAAAGGCAAAAGCAAGCACACGTGTAAAGGGCAATACGCTTTCAATGCACACCTCACACACCTCAAACCCTTTCCACACTTACACTCTCTCTGGACAGTTGTCGGGTTGATCCAGATACCCTCCGTCCATGACAAATTTCAACACCTGTTCATTAGACAGGCCTTGGTAAGGCTGTTCTGCCAAGCTGGTGATTTCCCAAAGGACCACGCCAAAGGACCTGTCAATGACAGTTGAGAGTAGTAACAAAGAAACCATTCACACACACACACGCAAACACACACACAAACACACACACACGCACACAGGTAAACTAGCACACAACACACGCAAACACACATGCAAACACATGCACACGCACACCCACACGCAAAAACACACAAACACGCACACAGGCAAACTAGCACACACATGCAAACACATATGCAAACGCATGCACACACACAGGCAAACACACACAGGCAAACTAGCACACACACATCCAAACACACACGTGTGCACACATGTAAATACACAAACACACGCAAACACACGTGCACACACACACAAATACACACAAACACAAACACACATGCACACAGGCAAACTAGCACACACACGCAAACACACATGTACACACGCATGCAAACACATGCACACAAACACACGCAAACACACAGGCACACACATTTAATACACACACAAACACGCACACATATGCATACACATACACACGAACAGGCAAACACACACGTGTGCACACACATGCAAACACACCCAAACACATGCAAACACACACATGTGCACACATGCAAATACACGCACACACGTGCACACACACATGCAAATTCACACACACATGAACACGCACACAGGCAAAGTAGCACACATGCAAACACATGCATGCACACACGCACACACACGTTTAATACACAAACACGCAAACACACATACACATACACACAAACACACACGCGCTCACACACATGCAAATACACAAACGCACACACACACACACAAACACGCAAACACATCTCTTGGTTTGCGAGAACATGGTTGGCCAGTTAATAAAACAATTCATGCTGCGGTCCATAAATGCTATGGAAGGAAAATCAATCTTGGGGTCCCCAAATCACTAAACTCAAGGAAAAAGTCCAGCTAGGAACTGCTTGAACAAACTTGCCTCCCACTATTCAAAGTCCCCCCTCTGCTCACTGAGAAACATGCATATCTGATTGGCTCCTTTGGAGAGGCTCATTAGAAACTCAAAGAATGCAACCATTTGTCTCTTATCTACCTATGACCTGGAAGACCCCTCCCCGCTTCGAGTTGTCCCGCCTTTCCAGACCCAACCAATGGTCATCTTGCATATGTTGATTGATGTCTCACGTCTCCCTAAAATATACGTATAAAACCAAGCTGTGCCCTGACCACCTTGGGCACATGTGGTCAGGATCTCCTGAGGCTGTGTCATGAGCACACGTCCTCAACCTTGGCAAAATAACCCTCCTAAATTAACTGAGACCTGTCTCAGATTTTCGGGGTTCACAATGCCTACAGGATTAATCAGGACATAAGAGTAGCCATGGGAAGGTCCTCAGACAGGACGCTGCCTTCCTTTCCTTGATGGGGGGTCCAGGAGGATGGCAGGCTTCCATCCCCCGCTCTCGGCTGTTGCTAGCACCTGGAATTCAAGCCCAGCGTCCGTCCACCCCTCCACACACAACTCACCACATGTCAGAAGAAGTGGTAAAGACCCCATCCTTCAGGGACTCCGGCGCCATCCACCGTACAGGGAGCAGACCCTTGCCTCCTTTCCGGTAGTAATCCGTTTCATAGATGTCTCTGGTCATTCCAAAGTCTGACAACACAAACGATTCACATGCTCTTAACCTTCAGCCTTGGTCCTACCATCTGCCATCTTGACTGCCCCACCTCTCACGGAGCCCTAAGAGGGGTTCACCTGGCCCTGGTGTGCGCTCACCTGGGTGGTAGCCAAATCCAGTAAGAAGGGATTCTGAGGGTGCACATGGGGAAGTGAAGGGGGAAGATGGGCTACTATTTAAAGGGAGGGAAAAGAAGGTACCAAATGACAAAGAAGCTACATTTTTCTTTCTTTTTCTTTTTTTTTTTATATGGAGTCTCACTCTGTCCTCCAGGCTGGAGTGCGGTGGTGCGATCTCGGTTCACTGCAACCTCTACCTCCCTGATTCAAGCAATTCTCCTGCCTCAGCCTCCTGAGTAGCTGGGATTACAGCTGTCTGCCACTATGTCTAGCTAATGTTTTGTATTTTGAGTAGAGACCGGGTTTCACCATTTCACCAGGCTGGTCTCGAACTCCTGACCTCCAGTAATCCGCCCGCCTCAGCCTCCCAAAGTGCTGGGATTACAGGTGTGAGCCACTGCGCCTGGCCAGGAGATGTCTTTTTGAGTCGTAAATAGAATCATATCGCTTCCTGCTGCCCCTTGCTAATGTAAGATAATGTCGAGATGACTTGCTGTGACATACAAGGTCCTTCTGGGTCTGGTTTCTGCCTCTCTCCTCGACCTCACATCTCACGCTGCTCTGGTCCCCTCTATATTCCTTTTTTGTTTGTTTTTTTGAAATAGCGTCTCACTATTGCCCAGGCTGGAGTCCAGTGATGCAGTCACAGCTCACTGCAGCCTCCACCTCCTGGGCTCAAGCAATCCTCCCACCCCAGCCTCCTGAGTAGCTGGGACCACAGATGTGCACCACCACACCCCTTTTTAAAAAAATTTTTCATAGAGATGGAGTCTCACTATGTTGCCTAGGCTGGTCTCAAACTCCTGGACTCAAGCAGTCCTCACACCTTGGCCTTCCAAAGCACTGAGATTACAGGCGGGGCCCCCGGTCCTACAAACATATCTTTTAAAGAAGTGAATGGGTAAATGAGTTTATCAATACATGCAATTAAATGACAGCCTGGTGGGGGGCGGTCCCCATCCAAAATCTTGCCCAGGCCAGGCACAGTGGCTCATGCCTGTAACCCCAGTGCTTTGGGAGGCCAACACGGGTGGATCATTTGAGGTCAGGAGTTTGAGACCATCCTGGCCAACACGGTGAAACTCCGTCTCTACTAAAAATACAAAAATTAGCTGGGTGTGGTGGCGCACGCCTGTAATCCCAGCTACTTGGGAGACTAAGGCGGGACAATCGCTTGAACCTGAGAGGTGGAGGTTTCAGTGAGCCGAGATCCTGTCACTGCACTCCAGCCTGGGTGACAGAGCAAGACTCCATCTCATAAAAAAGAAGAAAAAAAAAGCCAGTGTGTTAGCTCACACCTGTAATCTCAGCACTTTGGGAGGCCAAGGCAGGAGGATCACGAGGTCAGGAAATCAAGACTATCCTGGCCAACGTGGTGAAACCCCATCTCCACTAAAAATACAAAAATTGGCCAAGTGTGGTGGTACACACCCGTAGTCCCAGCTACTCGGGAGGCTGAGGCAGGTGAATCACTTGAACCTGGGAGGCGGAGGTTGCAGTGAGCCAAGATTGCACCACTGCACTCCAGCCTGGGCGACAGAGTAAGACTCCGTCTCAAAACAAACAAACAAAAACAAACAAAACAAAACAAAAAACAAAAACAAAAAGAAGTATCTTGCCCCTTTTATACTATCAGAAAAGACTTAGCGGCTCATTATAGACAACTTCCTTCTGAAATCAAACCTGGCCTGGGTCGTTACGTTTTCAAAGCAGAAAGCCAGACGAACCTCCAATTTTGACAGTAAAATCGTGGGCGACCATGCAGTTTCTCGCTGCCAGGTCCCGATGCACGAACTTCTTGGCATTCAGGTAGGCCATCCCGTCAGCAATCTCCGCCGCCATCTGAATCATCTCTTGCAGGGTAGGGGGAGGGCGGCCAGGATTATTCTAAAACCGAAACATGGGGTTGGTGTTTCAGCAGCACCGGGATTCCAGGAGGCCGGGAGCGGGTGCCCCACCGAGTATCCCGCTGGGTCCCCCCGAGGCAGCTCACCTCAGCCTCTGGCCGCAGAGAACGGAGGTAGCTCTTCAGGTCTCCGTGAGCCATCAGCTCCATCACCACCAGCGTGGGCTGGCCCTTGGACACCACTCCCAGGAGACGCACCTGCAGAGCAAGCCACCAGGGTTCTTGGAGGAGGGTCTGTGATTCGACTCGCCAAGGTTCTCCCTGCCTGGTGTCTATGTCACACACAGCACCCTGTGGCCTGGATGCAGTGTGCTCAGCCCTGGTCTAGGGGAGCAGACAGACCTGTCTGGACAGCAGACAGGCCTTTGTATTTTTTTTTTTTTTTTTAATTTTCGAGATGGAATCATGCTCTCTTACCCAGGCTGGAGGGTAGTGGTGTGATCTCAGCTCACTGCAACCTTCGCCTCCCAGGTTCAAGCAATTCTCCTGCCTCAGTCTACCGAGTAGCTGGGGTTACAGACGCCCACCAGCACACCCGGCTAATTTTTGTATTTTTAGTAGAGACAGGATTTCTCCATGTTGGTCAGGTTGATCTTGAACTCCCGACCTCTGGTGATCCGCCTGCCTCAGCCTCCCAAAGTGCTGGGATTACAGCCACCATGCCCAGCCAGGCCTTTGTATTTTAACCATTCTCTCTGCCTGGCTCTCTGTTCCCTGCTACATCCACAGGGCCAGCTCCTCATGTCCTTTAAGTCTTTGCTCAAATACACCCTTGTCCAACCCTTCTTTCTTCCCTTTCTTCATGTTTCCATAGCATTTTCTCCTAATGTATAAAGGGTTTGGAGTCGGCCGGGGACGGTGGCTTATGTCTGTAATCCCAGCACTTTGAGAGGCTGAGGCTGGTGGATCACCTGAAGTCAGGAGTTCGAGACCAGTCTGGCCAACATGGCAAAATCCCATCTCTACTAAAAATACAAAAATTAGCCGGGTGTGGTGGTGGGCTCCTGTTATCCCAGCTACTCAGGAGGCCGTGGCAGGAGAACTGCTTGAACCCGGGAGGCAGAGGTTGAGTGAGCCAAGATTGTGCCACTATACTCCACCCTGGGTGACAGAGAGAGACTCTGTCTTAAAAATATATAAAAATAAAAATAAAAGTTTTGGAGTCTATCTCCACCTCCTGGTTTGGAAGCTCTACAGGGGCAGGAATCCACTGTATCGCAGGGACAAGAGCAGGGTTTTAAATGCCCCACAAATATGTGTGGCAAGGATGAAAGCACATGGGACCCAAAGAGAAACAAAGGAGCAGAAAGGCAGGAAGAGTTTGCGCTGCCTTCAAGGGAGAGTAGGAATGATGGCAGGTGGTATGAGGTGGACCTCTGTGTGGTCCTGGGTTACAAAGGAGCCAGGAAAAAGCAAGAAATGGAGGAGTCCAAAAAGCAACGGAAGATTCTGGAAAATGATGGAAGAGTCCAGAAAGTGGTAGAAGATTCCAGAAAATGATGGAAGATTCTAGAAAGTGATGAAAGAATCTGGAAAGCAATGAAGCATTCCAGAAAGTGATAAGACAGTGATAGAGTCTGGTTCCAGGCGAAGTGGGAGAGGATGTGATTTGAGAAGGGAACAATCCCTCCCTACACCTTTAGGATGGGTAGTAGAGTGGGGGTTGGGCAGGAGGTTACACCCAGTGTCCTCTGTCACTCTGTGCAGGAGGAGGAGGCAGAGAGAGGCAAGGGGCAGGAAAGCCAGCCCATGTCCCACCCCCACTGGACTCACCACATGATGGCAGGTGAAGCCCTTCATGACCGAGGCCTCATTGAGGAACTCAATCCGCTCTCGGAGACTGGCTGACTCGTTGACCGTCTTCACTGCCACGCGGGTCTCTGCCTCACCCTTGATGATGTCCCTGGCGTTGCCCTCATACACCATGCCGAAGGAGCCCTGCCCCAGCTCTCGAAGGAGGGTGATCTTCTCTCGAGGCACCTCCCACTCGTCCGGCACGTACACAGAGCATGGAAACACTACTTCTCACTTATCTACACAGCATCTTTGGCTGATCCCTTGGGGGTCTGCAGCCACCTTCCACCCAAGCCCTCACCCAAACCTCCTCGAAAACACTCATGAAGTGAGTTCTGTGATCCAGGACCCATGCCAGGCACTGGGCGTATGGCAGAGAACAGGACAGGCATCTGCACCCATGGAGAGGGCATGGCAGAGACTCAAGGAAGGAGCCACAGCTGATTCAAGATCCTGGTCAATATGTCCTGAGGCAAACCTGCATCCCCATCCTTCTTGTCTGATTTCAGATCCTTGCCACAGAATGGTGCTACTTCCCACCTGAGACTACTATTTCTGCAAAGTGCCAAGGGGATGGTAGACAGGTTGTAATAGGTTGGGGGTTAAAAAAAGCCAGGATACTTGGCAGCTCTTTCCATGAAAAGGTGGAGTCTATCTCACCACCCCTTGGCTCTGGGCATGGCCTTGTGAGTTATTTTGGTCAATGGGAATCAGCAGGAATGACCCAAGCAGAAACTCCGAATGGACTATTGCCCTGGAGCTTGCCCTCTCTTGCTACTAGGAACCAACAGAGTACCATGTAATGAAGCCTAGGCCAGCCTGCTGGAGCCTAAGAGGCCACATGGACAGAGTGAGGCTCAGCCTCCCCCAGCTTAGGGCCCCACGTTGGGACCACCCAGCCTGCCGACCACCAGACATGTGAGTGAAATCATCTAAGACTACAAAGTGCTAGCTGACACACCAGCAAAATGTAGCTACATGGGTGAAGCCAGGCAAGACCAGAAGAAGAACCGCCCAGCTGAGCCCAGCCCAAGTTGTCGACCCCATCCAAGGGTCCCAGACCGGCTAGATGAGCCCATCCAGGCAGGTGCCAAATACCATGTGTCCACATGCACACAGTAATGAGGTTTCTGCAGCAAGGGCAGTTTGGCAAGCTCAAATGACTAAGAGGGCTTTTCTTGGCTTCCCTGGGGAACCCATCCTTCACTCTCACTCAATGGTGAAGGCAAAGGAAGCTGTTGAATAGGGTACTGGTCACCCACAGGGAAGGGATGGTACTCACCATCACTGGCACTGAGATACTCAGGGTTTGAAGAAGCGTAAAGCGGTCCCAGCGGCCCATCTGGCTGCCTGGAGGAGAAAAATGAGGCACATTAGCTTGAGGTTCTCATGGGACTCTGCAGGTCTCCAGAAAGGGGTTTCATACAAGACTTCTCAAGGCAAATGGCAGCCCTTACCAGCAGAATCCCCATAATTCTAGATGCAGTCTAGGGCAGGGATGGGGGACCTTTATGTTTTGAATGGAAGCCCATCAGACAAGTACTTAAATACATCAACATGGCAGCAGCACTGATCCCTCCCCAGGTATTTTTTTTTTTTTTTTTCACATTTCAGAGTTGGAGTCTTGCTGTGTTGTGGCTGGAGGGCAGTGGTTTAATCATAGATCACTGCAGTCTCGACCTTCTGGGCTCCAGAGATCCTCTCACCTCAGCTTTTTGAATAGCTGGGAATACAGGTGCTCACCACCACATCTGGCTAATTTTTAAAATTTCGTAGAGACCGGGTCTCACTATGTTGCCCAGGCTGGTCTTGAACTCTTGGTCTCAAGTGATCCTCCTGCCTCATCCTCCTGAGTGGCTGGGATTACAGATGTGCACGACCATGCAGGGCTCTGGCTGGCTTTTATTATAATTTATAACCGTCTATGTAACACTTAAAAGCCACTCACCCAGTACTGTTCTACAGCGAGCTCATCCCGACTGATGAGAAACAATTATTAAATTTTCAGGAAACGAGTGAGCCAGTTATTAAATACAAGCATCATTAAAGATTAAATTGTACAATGCCTTCCAAATAGAACAAAAAATGTAAATTATAGAGGCTTGCAATTAAATAAATTACCCTAAAAGCAAAGACAATACATGTTCAAAACTCATCACTTTCTAACTCTCATACTCCATTTTACTATGATCAATGCAGCTGAGGTTATTTACCTTATATCATTTATACACCATATTGTATCCATAGGGTGAATTCAATGGGGAGCTATCATGTGTCTCTTTCCGACACTGTGCTCAGTAATATTATGCCTACAGCCTGAAATTAGACATGCTGGGAATATTTACATTACAGAAACTGGCAAATGCTATAATTTGGGACTGGATTTGTTGTTCTGTTGTTTGTCCAGGCTTGAGGAAGTGATGAGAAAAATGTTTTTTGTTTTGTTTTTGAGACAGAGTCTCGCTCTGTTGCCCAGGGTGGAGCGCAATGGTGCGATCTCAGCTCACTGCAACCTCTGCCTCCCGGGTTCAAGCGATTCTCCTGCCTCAGCCTCCTGAGGAGCTGAGATTACAGGTGCGCACCACCACACCCTGCTAATTTTTGTATTTTTAGTAGAGACGGGGTTTCACCATGTTGGTCAGGCTAGTCTCGAACTCTGACCTCATGATCCGCCCACCTCGGCCACCCAAAGTGCTGGGATTACAGGTGTGAGCCACCGCACCCAGCCGAGAAAAATGTTTAATCATGTAGATTAAACTTAAAAGCATGTCATATCTGCAACTGTGACATTGCGCATGGCACAAAACATTACGAAAATGTTCTTCTGGTATTTAAAAATTATTATCTGACTCAGCAAAGACATCACTCATATCACTGATGAACATATATGTCTTATTTCAGTTTTATCTTACTTTTTTTTTTTTTTTTCCTGAGATGGAGTCTCACTCTGTTGCCCAGGCTGGAGTGCAATGGCGGGATCTTGGCTAGCTGCAATGTCCACCTCCAAGGTTCAAGTAATTCTCCTGTCTCAGCCTCCTGAGTAGCTGGGATTACAGGCGCCTACCACCACGCCCGGTTAATTTCTTAGTATTTTTAGTAAAGATGAGGTTTCACCATGTTGGCCAGGCTGGTCTCAAACTCCTGACCTCAGGTGATTCACCCGCCTTGGCCTCCCAAAATGCTAGGATTACAGGCGTGAGCCACTGTGCCCAGCCATGTCCTACTCTTTAATGTAAATTTTGAAAAATTAATCAACATTCACATTGGAGCTATACTTGTTTAATTAATTGCAATAATAGGTTGGCTTCAGATATAAAGGTTTGGGCAAAAAAATAAAAAATCAACAAAAACATTCTGTGAGAATCAACTGGCTAGAGGGAATTTACAATAAAGAGTTGTATATATCATATTATGACAATTATCTGTAAATTGCACGTTACACATCTTATATCAGTAAAATTCATAATAAACTTACATATACCTATACCTATATCGAGGCATAATTTCCCCCAGAGAACCAATGGTTCCCAGCACACCACTGAACTCACTCAACTCACCTCTTTCTCAGGAATAGATAAATACTTCCAATCACAATACTGAAGAGAAAGACAAAGATGAGGGGGCCGATGATAATTTTTGCAATATTTGATGGGACATCTACTGAAATAGAATAAGAAAATATATGTTTCATATCAATGTGTTCCCAAGAAAGTTAACACCAAAAATCACATCCACTTCTGGAATGGGTGGGCCACCCTGTTTCCTCCCTCCCTTGTCTATGAACTTCTCTGCTACTCTTCCATACCCTGATTTTGTTCAGTAGGTTCCCACTGAACCTACTGAGCAGTAAGTTCAGTAGGACCAGGCAGTGGGCTCAGAGGTCAGTATTCTGTTAGCACACTGTTCCCCACCCCCACTCCCAAATCACTGCTCATTTCCACCCCTTCTACATCTCAGGCAGTGGATGCAGGACACCATACTGTCAGTTTAATGCTCTGCTGCTGCCCCTCTGAAATGCTTATTCATTTTATTTTAATCTTTATTTAGTTACTTATTTTTGTGACGGAGTCTTGCTCTGACACCCAGGCTAGAGTTCAGTGGCACGATCTCGGCTCACTGGAACCTCCTCCTTCCAGGTTCAAGCGATTCTCCTGCCTCAGCTTCCCGAGTAGCTGGGATTACAGGTGTGCACCACCACGCCCGGCTAATTTTTGTACATTTAGTAGAGATGGGGTTTCACTTTGTTGGCCAGGCTGGTCTCAAACTCCTGACCTCAGGCGATCCTCCCGCCTCAGCCTCCGAAAGTGCTGGGATGACAGGCGTGAGCCACCGCGCCCGGCCAAATTCTTAATAATTTTAAAGCAAGGAGCTCTGCATTTTCAGTTTTCACTGGGTCTTGCAAATTATATAGCTAGTCTCGATCCCAGCGTGACTTTTGACAGACGTAAAATTCTTTTGATTTTTGTTTTAGAGACAGAGTCTTGCTCTGTCACCCAGGCTGGAGTATAGTGGCACGATCACAGTTCACCGCAACCTCAAACTCCTGGGCCCAAGTGATCCTCCTGTCTCAGCCTCCCAAGTAGCTGGGATTACAGTCATGCACCACTACAGCTGGCTAATTTTTGTATCTTTTTGTGGAGACAGAGTCTCGCTAAGTTACTCAGGCCGGTCTCTAATGCCTATCCTCAAGCAATACTCTTGCCTCAGCCTCCCACAGTGCTGGGATTACAGGTGTGAGCCACCACACCCAGCCGAAAAACTCTAATAACAAAGATGGAGATGCTAGCAACAGGGGCCAGGCACTTAACATTTGTGTCATTAAAATGTCCCTCCACCTCCTGGAGTGGTTCTGTTATTATCTCCATGTACAGATGAGCAAGTGCAGGATTGCCAGATAAAGAAAATGTGATACATATACACCACGGAATACTACACAGCCATAAAAAAGAATGAGATCATGTTCTTTGCAGCAACATGAATGGAGCTGGAGGTGATTATGCTAATTGAATTCACACAGGAACACAAAACCAACTACCTCATATTCTCCCCCATAAGTGAGAGTAAGACACAGAGCACACATGGACAGAAAGAAGGGAACAGTAGACACCGGGACTGATATGGTTTGGATCTGTGTCCCCACCCAAAGCTCTTGTGGAAATGCAATCCCCAATGTTGGAGGAGTGGCCGGGTGGGACCTGATTGGATCATGGAGGCAGTTTCTAACGGGTTGGCAACATCCCTCCTGGGTACTGTATAATGAGTGGGTTCTCATGGGATCTGGTGGTTTAAAAAGTGTATAGCACCATCCCCCCCGTCTTAACACCTTGCTCCCATTTCGCCTTCCACCATGATTGAAAGTTTCTTGAGGCCTCCTCAGAAGTTGAGCAGATACCAGCATCATGGTTCCTGTACTGTCTGCAGAACTGGGAGCCAATTAAACCTCTTTTCTCTATAAATTACTGAGTCCCAGTCTCAGGCTTCTTTTCTTTTTCCTTCCTTCCTTCCTTCCTTCCTTCCTTCCTTCCTTCCTTCCTTCCTTCCTTCCTCCTCCCTTGCCTCTCCCTCTCCTCCTCCCTCTTTCCTGCCCTCCCTCCCTCCCTTCTTTTATTTTTTCTTCCTTCTTTTTCTTTTTCTCTCTCTCTCTTTCACTCTTTCTTTCTTTTCTTATTTTTTGAGATAGGAGTCTGGTCTCACGGCACTTGCCCGGCTGGAAGTGCAGTGGGCATGATCTTCGGCTTCAACTGGCAACTCCAACCTCCGGTTTAAGTCAATTTCCTGCCTCAAGCCCTCCCCAAGTACTGGGATTACAGGCCAACATCACCATGGCCGGCTAAATATTTTTTTTTTTATTTTGTAGGTAGAACACAGGTTCGCAGCATATTAGACGTAGGCTGGTCTGCGAACTCCTGACCTCGTGATCTGCCCCACCATGCGGGCTCGCCCAAAGTGCATGAGATTACAACGCGTGAGATCACGTGCCCATCCTTCTTTCTCTCTTTCTTTCTTTTTTCTTTTCTTTTCTTTTTTCTTTTTCTTCGTTCTTTATCTTTTCTTTCCCTTTCTTTTTTCTTTTCTTTTCTTTTCTTTCTTTCTCCGTTTCTCTCTCTTCTTCTTCTCGTTTCTTTTTTTCTCTCTCCTCCTCTCTTATCTCCTTCGCTTCCTTCCTTCTTTCTTCCCCCTGTCCTTTCTTCTTTTTTCTTTCTTTTCCTTCCTTGTCTGTCTCTCTTTTTTTTTTTTTTTTGAGACAGGGTCTCGCTCTGTCGCCCAGGCTGGAGTGCAGTGGTGCAATCTTGGCTCTCTGCAACCTCTGCCTCCCCAGTTCAAGCAATTCTCCCACCTCAGCCTCCCAAGTGGCTGGGACTACGGGCGCACACCACCATGCCCAGCTAATTTTTGTATTTTTTGGTGGAGATGGGGTTTCACCATGTTGGCCAGGCTGGTCTGAAACTCCTGACCTCAAGTGATCAGCCCACTTTGGCCTCCCAAAGTGCTGGGATTACAGGTGTGAGCCACTGTGCCCAGCCAGGTATTTCTTTATTGCAGTGTGAGTACAGACTAACTCAGGTGCCTACTTGAGAGTGGTGGGTGAGAAGAGGGAAAGGATCAAAAAATGACCTATCTGGTACCATGCTGATGACATGGGTGACAAAATTATCTGTACAGCAAACCTCCAACGACACACAATTTTCTTATATAATGAACTGCATAAGTACCTCTGAAACAAAAATAAAAGTGCTTTTTCCCTTTTTTTTTTTAAGTGCAGGATCAGTCCAGGCATGGTGACTCATGCCTGTAATTCCAGCACTTTGGGAGGCTGAGGTGGGTGGATCACTTGAGGTCAGGAGTTTGAGACCAGCTGGCCAACATGGTGAAATGCCATCTCTACTAAAAATACAAAAATTAGCCAGGTGTGGTGGTGTGCACCTGTAGTCCCAGTTACTGTGAGGCTGAGGTGGGAGAATCACTTGAACCTGGAAGGTGGAGGCTACAGTGAGCCGAGATTGTGCCACCGCACTCCAGAACAAGCATCCATCTCAAACAATAAAAAAGTGCAGGATCAGAGAGGGCAAGCACCTAGCCCCAGTCACACAGCAGCAGCTGGTAGGTTGGAGAGTCAAGGCCAGGACCAGCACCTATGGCCTCTCCATGTCATCCTCTTAAATGTCCCACCATGCTCAGTGCTAAGCACAGCCCCAACTAGCTGAGGCTGCCATGGAGACTTACAATAGTCCGTCACGTAGAAATAGGTGGGTTCCGTCCAGGAGCCGTTGCCCGCGAGGGAGGTGGCCCGGACTCGTACGCTGTAGTTCCCCGGCGACAGCCCGCGCAGCCTGCAGCCCCGTTCCAGAGCGAAGTGCTTGCGGGAGACACAGAGATGCAGCTCCTGGAAGGAAGACAGGAGGAGGAGGAGGGTGGCTGAGTTTTGCACATTTGGGAGTGTCCACCCCTAGCAGGGAGCTCACAGCCAGGATCCTGCTCAGAAAGGACGCCAAGGCAGCAAAGCACAGACTAAGACACACAAGTGACTTTGAGAATTGCAGAATTTTATAACCACAGTGCTAGGGATAAGGATATAGATACAGAGATGATCATGATTGGAAAGGGCCAGACTTCCTAAGCCAGAAGCCGAGCATTAGACCCTGATGGTTTCTTTTCTTTTTTCTGTTTTTTTTCTTTTTGAGACGGAGTTTCACTCTTGTTGCCCAGGCTGGAGTGCAATGGCGCAATCTCGGCTCACTGCAACCTACACCTCTCGGGTTCAAGCGATTCTCCTGCCTCAGCCTCCTGAATAGCTGGGATTACAGGCACCCACCACCACGCCCGGCTAATTTTGCATTTTCAGTGGAGTCAGGGTTTTACCATGTTGGCCAGGCTGGTCTCAAACTCCTGACCTCAAGTGATCTGCCCACCTCGGCCTCCCAAAGTGCTGAGGTTACGGGCGTGAGCCACCGCGCCTGGCCCTATTATCTATTTTCTATTAATATTATTTTCTATAATATTATCTTTCTAAACATCATTTGTTTTATTTTTAATTGACAACAGTCGTATAGGTCTGGCACAGTGGCTCATGCCTGTAATCCCAGCCCTATGGGAGGCCATGATGGGAGGATCACTGGAGTCCAGGAATTAGAGACCAACGCGGGCAACATAGTGAGACCCCATTTCCACAGAAAATAGAACAATTAGCCAGGCACAGTGGTTCGCGCCTGTAGTCCCAGCTACTCAGGAGGCTAAGGTGGGAGAATCACTTGAGCCCAGGAGGTCAAGGGTGCAGTGAGCTATGAAAGCTCCACTGCACTCCAGCCTGGGTGACAGGCTAGACCCTGTCTATAAAATAAACAAACAAAAATAAAAATAATAGTGGTATACACGTATGGGGTACAGTGTAAAGTTATGATACAGTATAAATTGTGGAATGATTAAAACAAGCTAATTAAATGCTCATCAGTTCATGTACTTATTTCTTTGTTGTGAGAATATTTAAAATCTATTCTAGCCATTTTGCAATATGTGTTATTAGCTACAGTCACCATTCATGTACAGAGCAATGGATTCCAAGAACGTATTCCTGTCTGAAACTTCGCACCCTTTGATTCACATCTCTCTTTATTCTTCCTTTGATTGTTTTTTTCCCTGACCATTTTAAAATGCAAAAGTGGGCAGGGCATGGTGGCTCATGCTTATAATCCCAACACTTTGGGAGGCTGAGGTGGGCAGATCACTTGAGGTCAGGAGTTCGAGACCAGCCTGGTCAAGATGGTGAAACCCTGTCTCTACCCAAAACACAAAAATTAGCTGGACCCGGTGGCGTACACCTGTAATCCTAGTTACTCAGAGGCTGAGACAGGAGAATCACTTGAACCCGGGAGACAGAGGTTGCAGTGAGCCAAGATTGTGCCACTGCACTCCAGTCTGGGCGACAGAGCAAGACTCCGTCTCAAAAATAAATACATAAATAAATAAAATGCAGAAGTGACTCCCAGCTCACAAATCATTACAAATCAGGCAGCAGGCCACATTTAGCCTATAGGATATAGTTTACTGACTGACCCCTGGTTTAAGACATTATATGGTTTGTCTGCAGTCTCATAGCTGCAAAGTGGCAGGGCCAGCTCTTGAACTGTCTGGCTCTACAGCTACTCCAGAGGCTGAGGCAGGAGAATGGCGTGAACCCGGGAGGCAGAGCTTGCAGTGAGCCGAGATTACACCACTGCACTCCGGCCTGGGCGACAGAGCAAGACTCCGTCTCAAAAAAAAAAAAAAAGAAAAAGAAAAAAGAAAAAAAAGAGAACTGTCTGGCTGTATAACTTCTCCTTAAGACCACGGCAGAATATTTTTGCCATGTCTCCAGCAAAATTAGAAAAGGGTGGAAATGAAGGATCTGCAGGGTCTATGCCAGATTTCCTGCCTTTCCCTGCAACTCTTGGCCTCTGCCGCAACAGAACCAAATAGATAAATGGGCTTAATGTCTAAGGACAAATAAGAAAGTTCTTTCTTTGCCATGGTGCTGCCTTTCGGTGTTTTTGTTTGTTTGTTTATTTGTTTGTTTTTTTACTCATTAGGCCAGGCATGGTGTGGCTCATGCCTGTAATCCCAGCACTTTGGGAGGCCGAGGAGGGCAGATGACGAGGTCAAGAGATCGAGACCATCCTTGCCAACATAGAGAAACCCTGTCTCTACTAAAAATACAAAAATTAGCTGGGCGTGGTGGTGGGTGCCTGTAATCCCAGCTACTCGGGAGGCTGAGGCAGGAGATTCACTTGAACCCGGGAGGCGGAGTTTGCAGTGAGTTGAGATCGCGACACTGCACTCCAGCCTGGGCAACAGAGCAAGACTGTCTGAAAAAGAAAAAGAAAATGTGGTACACTTCGCCTCAAAATAAAATAAAATAAGTCAATAAATAAATAAATAAAACAGTGGGGATAAAACAGTTGGGATCCACTCAAATGGAGATTCGCAAAGTGCGAAACATACCTTGTGATAAGCACGTAACTAGAGATAAACCGAGAACTTCCGAGAAGAGACAGGAGGCTCTAGGGAATAAGACCATGAAACCTGCAAGCGTCGAGCCAAAACTCTGAAAAGTTTTCGAAACAGTTCCAAGCTAATAGTGCATGCAGGGAACCGGGCTGGAACATTTAGGAGGGGGGTGGAGAGTGGAGAAGAGAAATAAATGTTTTAGAAAAAAAAAAAAAAAAAAGCCAACAACCCCGTGTTTATCATGTGACAGTAACAGCAAGAAAACAAATCAGTCCGATGGCAGGGGTGGGGGCGGGGAACTCTAGTCCAAAGTTTCTTCCAAGTGGAATGAGTCACCGAGTAGAGAGGGACGAATAAGCAAATATAGAAACCCAAGGTAGCTGCTATCCAGGACAAAGGGGAAATGCATCTTCTTTTTTTTTTTTTTTTTTTTTACATGTAATCATTTAATCCTCAGAGCACGGTAGACATTATTATCATCATCTTTTTTTTGGAGACGGAGTTTCGCTCTCGTCGCCCAGGCTGGAGTACAGTGGCGAGATCTTGGCATCTTGGCTCACTGCAACCTCCGCCTCCTGGGTTCAAGCGATTCTCCTGCCTTAGCCTCCTGAGTAACTGGGATGACAGGCGCGTGCCACAGCATGACTCTGTCTCTAAAAAAAATTTTTTGAAGGGAGATACTGAAAAAAAAATGCAATTAAATAGCTAGAGGTGGCTTTGTTTATGAAACTAGCAAAAGAAAAAACAATATAACACTCACTGGCCGGGCGCAGTGGCTCACACCTGTAATCCCAGCACTTTGGGAGGCCAAGGGTGGTGGATCACGAGGTCCAGGAGTTCGAGACAGCCTGACCAACATGGTGAAACCCCATCTCTACTAAAAGACAAAAATTCCCAGATACTCAGGAGGCTGAGGCAGGAGAATGACTCGAACCCAGGAAGCGGAGGTTGCAGTGAACTGAGATTGCACCAATGCACTGTAGCCTGGGCTATAGAGAGAGACTCTGTCTAAAAAAAAAAAAACAAAGAAATGCCCAACTCTTTCCTAAAGCAGCTGTGCCATTTTACGTTCCCACCAGCAACGTATGAGGGTTCTGATTTCTCATCCTCACCAACACTAATTACTATCCATCTTTTTGTTTTTTGCCATGCTCGTGGGCACGAAGTGGTATCGCATTGTGCTCTTGATTTGCATTTTTGTCACGGCTAATTTGGGGCTGAGTTTTGTGTTCTGTCCTGGTACCAGGGTGGGGTTGAAGGTGGGAGGTGAGAGCCACTCAAGGGAGACGAGCAGCTTCCAAAGGCAGTTCAGGGCATCGTTGACAGCAAGGATAGAGTCTGCAGAGTGAACAATGCCTGTTTCCACTGCAGATCCTCCTTGATTTTTTTTCTGCTTCTGTGTCCAACTTGTCCCTGTTCACCCAGAACTTTCTGAGTGTGGACACTGAAAATCTCACATCCCAGGGAGCCCTCAGTCCTGGCTAAACCTAGACAACTGGCCACCCTGTCCGCATTGGATTTAACTCGAATCCTAACTTCTCCTAGCTTTTTCCCATGCCTTTGACTGGCCTGTGTCTCCTGTTCCTGGGACCCAAGGGTCACTATTAGAAATTCCCACCACGAATCCCCAACAGCCTCTGCCCCACACAGCACAACCCCAATCCCACCCAGTCCAACTCTGTTCACCCTAGAGAGAAGCAGAGAAGGGGGAGAAAATGAAAGGAGAATGTGAGGTTACAGTCACCTTCTTAAGAACCTTTTCATAGACACATTTCTGTTATTGCCAACAATTTCCTTAATTACCTAGCATTGCTTTGATCAAGAAAAAAAAGTGACATACAATTTTATTTATTTACATATATAGAGAGAGATGGAGTCTCACTCTGTCACCCAGGCTGGAGTACAGTGGTATGATCTTGGATCACTGCAATCTCTGCCTCCTGGGTTCAAGCGATTCTCCTGTCTTAGCCTCCTGAGTAGTTGGGATTACAGGCGCACACCACCACGCCCAGCTAATTTTTGTATTTTTAGTAGACACAAGGTTTCACCATGTTGGCCAGGCTGGTCTTGAACCCTGACCTCAGGTGATCCGCCCTCCCGAGGTGCTAGGATTACAGGCGTGAGCCACTGCTCCCAGCCTAAAACTTTATTTTTATGTACACAATTTATACTGTTGGAGTACAATTTTACTACATTTATAAAATTCTCTCTAGCATGTGGTGGGAGTGAATATTATGTTATGTAAGTTACATCTCAATAAAGCTGTTTCTAAATTAAAAAAAAAAAAAAATCCCTCATGCCCAAGCCAATCAGCATACAGCATTCCTCTGGTCACATGATTGGGCACTGGGTGTCACATGACCTCAGTCTAGCTGGGAATGCTGGGATGCACTCTGTCTTCCTCTGGGTTTGGCACTGCAGAGAAATAAGGTTTGGAACCACTACAACCACAGGTGGACAGCCAGGGGCTACTGGGCTCACTGACAGGAGCCTTAAGATGCAACCGACCCAGGCCAGGCATGGTGGCTCACACCTGTAATCCCAGCACTTTGGGATGCCAAGGTGGATTACCTGAGGACAGGAGTTCGAGACCAACCAGGCCAACATGGTGAAACCCCGTCTCCATTAAAAATACAAAAATTAGCTGGGTGTGGTGGTGGGTGCCTGTAATCCCAGCTAGTTAGGAGGCTGAGGCAGAAAAATCGCTTAAACCCGGGAGGCGGAGGTTGCAGTGAGCTGAGATTGCACCACTGCACTCCAGCCTGGATGACAGAGTGAGTTTCCATCTCAAAAAAAAAAAAAAGATGCAACCGACCCAAAGGAATCCTGGATCCAGCCATTCCTGAAGCTCCTCAGTTGTTCAGCTCTGGGAGCTAATAAGCTTTTCCTCTATCATAAGTTAGTTTGGATACAGGGGGATTCTTAACTGCTGGGGGATAACACAAAGGAACTAAATTCCAGAGTGTGTAATTTTAACTTCTACATTACACTGAACAAACGTCATCCCAAACATTTTATCTTAGTTTTTTGGAGACAGAGTCTTCTTGCTCTGTCACCCAGTCTGGAGTGTAGTGACTGAGTCATAGCCCACTATAACCTGGAGCTCCTGAGCTCGAGCAATTCTCTCCTCAGCCTCCCAAGCAGATGGAACTATAGGCACAGACCACCACACCTAGCTAATTTTGAAAATTTTTTTGCAGAGATGGGGTCTGGCTATGTTGCCCAGGCTCAAACTCCTGGCCTCAAAGCCATCCTCCCACCTCAGCTTCCTGAGTCACTGGAATTATAGGCACGAGCCACCATGCTTGGCCACCAAACATCGTTTTAAATGGCTCTTCATCCACCAATTCTATGGCTGCCCCATCTTCCATGTGTCCATTCTCCAATGGATGGATGTGTAGTGGTTTGCATATTTTGCTACTGATGAAAATCTTGTGCATAGAGCTTTGTTCCCTGCCCCAAATTTGAATGATTTCCTTAGGACCTACAGGATTAATACATATAGAATAATATATTAATAAATTTTGCAATTATGACCCCCAGGGAATCATGACTTTCTATGTCTATGAGACTCTGGGAGCCTCAGTATCCAGCTCACTGAGATACTCAGAGGATGCATTGCACTTCCTTATTCTGGGCTTAGCCATGGGCTCACTTTGCCAAAGGGATACTAGCAAATGTGATGTGAACAGAGACCTGAGAAGTGTTTGTATATGGAACATGTCCTTCCTTGCCTGGGCTAGCTCGCTGGACAGTGAGAGAACACATGGGGGGAAAAGCTCCAAGTGTCCCCAGCTGAGGCCCCAGTCACGTGAATGAGGCCATCCAGCTCCAGCCAAACTGGCCCACGACAAAGGAATCACCCAGTGAACCTGCAGAATTGAGAGAAAGAATAAATGTCTTTTTTTTTTTTTTGCCTGAAACAGAGTCTCTGTCGCCCAGGCTGGAGTGCAGTGGTGCGATCTAGGCTCACTGCAACCTCCACCTCCCAGGTTCAAGTGATTCTCCTGCCTCAGCCTCCCAAGTAGCTGGGATTGCAGGCACGCACCACCATGCCCGGCTAATTTTTGTATTTTTAGTAGAGACGGGGTTTCACCATGTTGGTCAGGCTGGTCTCAAACTCCTGACCTCGTGATCCACCCACCTCAGCCTCCCAAAGTGCTGGGATTACAGGCATGAGCCACTGCGCCTGGCCAATGTCCTTTGTTTTCAACCAGGACCTTTGGGGGCAGTTTGTCATGCAGCAAGAACTGACTGAAACAGTAACTAAAACTGTCAATCCAAAAAGCGAAACTGTTTTCCAGATAAAATCTGTATTACCTAAAATGGTAAAAACCAGAGGCAATCCAAATCCCCAAAAATAAATGATACTCCAATCATGAGATTAAACTCTATGTAGCAACTACAAATCATAATTCCAAAGGCTACTGTGGACAGAGACATCAAAAGGCAGAAGAAAGTAACTGAGGAATATGGATTAGAGGCATATGCACGTTTGTGCCAATTAAAAACTAGCTGAGCTTTGTATGGTAAGGGATTTTATTTTAAAAACGAATGTTAAAAAAGGCAAATCAAGCCATTCATTTAGCAAATAGGGCCCCAAAATAGGCCCAGAATGACAATTTCAGTAAGGACACTTGCTATTTTTGAAAGTTTACTTTTTCTGTGAAGGGCCACATATAGCCTCTGTTGCGTATTCTTTTTTTTTTGAGACAGAGTCTTGCTCTGTCACCCAGGCTGGAGTGCAGTGGCACGACCTTGGCTCACTGCAACCTCTGTCTCCCGGGTTCAAGCAATTCTCCCTGCCTTAGCCTCCCGAGGAGTAGCTGGGATTACAGGCACCTGCCATTACGCCTGGCTAATTTCTGTATTTTTAGTAGAGATGGAGTTTCGCCATGTCACCCAGGCTGGTCTTGACGTCCTGACCTCAGTCCTGTTGCACATTCTTTACAATGCTCTGCAAGCCAGATTTGGCCCACAAGCCATAGTGTACGAATCTCAATTCTAAATTATTGTCAAAGCCAAAATCTTTGGTTGCCAAGAGTAGATGTGGTCCCAGGAGGGGTAAATAGAGGGAGGTCCACCTGGTTATAGGAGGACTCTCTTTCAAAGTTCCAGGAAATCAGACATTTTGCTGTAGCCTCTGTTAGTTGCTGGCAAACTCTGGCCCACCAGCTAAACCTGGCCCACCACTTGTTTTTGTAAATAAAGTTTTACTGGCACACAACCACACCCATTCATTTACATATCACCCATAGCAGCTTTCTCAGTAGAATGGTGGAATTGAGTAGTTGTAACAGAAATCATCTGGCCACAGAGTCAAACATGTTTACTATACAAACCTTTATGGTAAAAAAATAATTGGCAAATCTGGATTGGAATATCAGTCTTGCATTTGGATCCTGATTCTATTCTTCCAGGTTTTGTGCAGCAGCTTAAACTCTGGAAGCCTCAGTACCCAGCTCACTGGGATAATGTGAGGATGTATTGTACTTCCTCAATCCCAACAGGTATGTTATTTTTGCATTTTGGCATTTCTGAAATTGGAGTGCATCTTACAAGCAATGCATCTTACTAACACTTAACAGTGCTCAGGACCTATATTCTAGGAAAAAATAAAAATAGAATTAACAGCACCTTTTTTTTTCTTTTGCCTGGCTGTCCATAAAAATAATGGGGCCTCTCAAAATTTCCTAGAGGTAATACAATGTGATCAATGAGATACCGTGTGTAACGTGCTGAACGTGTTTGGGACATATGGTGAGTTCTGGGAATGGCTTAGCAACTGTTTGGGTTCTTTTGGGTTGTTTGTCTTGGATTCTGTGTCTTGTGCATCTCTGCATTCACCCAGCACTTGCATGGTGTCTGGCTGAATGGAAGCATCCAACGAAAAGTAACTTATAAGATTTGTTGTTGTTGTTGTTGCGGTTTTTTTTTTCTTTTTTTTGAGATGGAGTCTCGCTCTGTCACCCAGGCTGGAGTGCAATGGCGTGATCTTGGCTCACTGCAAGCTCCGCCTCCCAGGTTCACGCCATTCTCCTGCCTCAGCCTCCCGAGTAGCTGGGACTACAGGCCCCTGCCACCACGCCCGGCTAATTTTTTTTTGCATTTTTAGTAGAGACAGAGTTTCACCATGTTAGACAGGATGGTCTTGATCTCCTGACCTCGTGATCCGCCTGCCTCAGCCTCCCAAAGTGCTGGGATTATGGGCATGAGCCACCGTGCCCAGCCTGTTGTTGCTGTTTTTGAGACAGAGTCTTGCTCTGTCACCCAGGCTGGAGTACAATGGCCAATCTCGGCTTACTGCAACCTCCACCTCCTGGGTTCAAGTGGTTCTCCTGCCTCAGCTTCCCACCTCGGCCTCCTGAGTATCTGGGATTACAAGCACCCACCACCACACCTGGCTAATTTTTGTATTTTTAGTAGAGACGGGGTTTCACCATGTTAGCCAGGCTGGTCTCAAACTCCTGGCCTCAAGTGGTCTGCCTGCCTCAGCCTCCCAAAGTGCTTGGATTACAGGTGTGAGCCACCATGCCCAGCAACTTATAAGGTTTTAAGACTCATATAACTCCTTCTAAAGTGAAATGAGTCTCCTGTCGCGGTGGGAGACAGACATCATTCAACTTAGAGGACACAGCTGAAAAGCAATGTGAGAAATTAAGAAAACTAACAAGCTTGTAGGTTGGCATTTCTGACCCATCTTCCTGGGAAGTCAAGTATCAAGGCTTTAAGTGCTAATAGCACAGTATCTGATGAGAGAAGCACTGCAATCAGAATTTCAGCAGAGGAAGGAGGTACCAAGGTCAACTCTGAAGGGGCGTGCTGAAGTGTGAAGGGGCGTGCCCAAGAGTCAAGGGCCTTACCTCATCGCCATATCGCCGATAACTCACTTCATACAGCACAATCAGGCCATTGGGCTCCTTCGGCTCCTGCCACATCAAGTGGACGATGTTGTTCTCAAAGATTTCGTGCGTCACAGGGCCAACAATGTCATCAGCCTTGGCTGTAAGGAGAGGAAGTGAGAGGCAGGGATGTAACTGTTGGATCAGATCCCACTTCTGCCACCTGCCCGTGGTGCAACCTTGGGCTGGTGACATCATTTTTCCACATCCCATTTTCCTCATCAGAGAATGGACATCTAAAACTCATCCCACAGGATTGTTAGGAAGATTAAATGGATTACTTTCTGCATATAACTTTTTTTTTGAGACGGAGTCTTACTCTGTCACCCAGGCTGCAGTGCAGTGGTATATTTTCTAAAGTTTACATAATGGTTGCCTATGACTCTTATAATTTGAAAATATGGCCTGGCATGGTGGCTCATGCCTGTAATCCCAGCACTTTGGGAGCTCAAGGTTGGCGGACTATTTGAGCTCAGGCATTGGAGACCAGCCTGGGAAACATGGTGAAACCCTGTCTCTACTGAAAACACAGGTGTGGTGGCACACACCTCTAGTCCCAGCTACTTGGGAGGCTGAGGCAGGAGAATTGCTTGAACCAGGGAGGCGGAGATTGCAGTGAGCCAAGATTACGCCATTGCACTCCAGCCTGGGTGACAGAGCAAGGCTTCATCTCACTAAAAAAAAAAAGGCCAGGCTCGGTGGCTCATGCCTGTAATCCCAGCACTTTGAGAGGCCGAGGTGGGTGGATCACTTGAGCCCAGGAGTTCGAGACCAGCCTGGGCAATATGGTGAAACCCCATCTCTACTAAAAATACAAAAATTAGCTGGGCGTGGTGGCAGACACCTGTAGTCCCAGCTACTCGGGAGGCTGAAGCAGGGAATCACTTGACGGAGGAGGCAGAGGCTGGAGTGAGCTGAGGTAGCACCACTGTACTCCAGCCTGGGCAACAGGGCAAGGCTCTGTCTCAAAAAAAAAAGAGGCCAATAAGGTAAAATATAGATATGCACTGCTCAGAGCGTGGAGAATCTGTCTTTGGTCAGCCTGGGTGTCCCACCGCATGACATTCAGACCCCGGGGCAGCGGCCCCACCTTCAGGCATGGTCCTGGCGCTGACGTAGGCTGCCACACTGCACCGTTCCTCAGGGGTGTCTTGGTTGCAAGCCTGCAGCTCGATGCGATAGCCCGTGAAGTGTCGCAAGCCGGAGATGACCAGCGACTCCTTGTTCACCACCTTCTCAAAGGGCCTGTGCTCCTCCGGACTCGTGGGCGTGCTGGTCGAGGAAGTGTTGGGGAAAGCTGCCACCGTGGGCACGGCCACCGTCACATTCACAACATCGCCAAGGGACCTGCGTTTCCGAGATGGCCTGGAACGACAGTAGGACATGCATGATCACACCATCACCATCATTTTTTTTTTTTTAAATGATGCTGGGAATTAAAGGCTCGATGAAGAAGCTAGATCAGAGTGCAGGAGGGTGCAGCGGTGGGAACATGGATTACAATGCGACTGCCCCAGGAATGACCACCCAGAGCAGCTTTCAAGAATGCCCTTGTGAGCATCTGAAGGATTAGAGCAGGCCCAACCTCGTGAGGGATGAGTCTTCTAAGACCATCAATAGTAAGACCACACACCGATATTCCCCTCGACATGCTCATTCAGTTTGCGTTTTTCATTTGCAGATAAATAGGGCCAGCCCAGGGGTCAGTGACAAAAATAAGACACCAAAAGCACGTAAGAGTCTAGCTTTTCAGGAGCCTGCAAATGGCATTGCTCAATGGTCCAAGTTACTGATCGACATCGTCAGTTTAAACAGGAAAAAATACATCTTCTCCTCTTTATGACTGCTTAGGCGCACCTGCATAATTTGAGTGATTAAGGCTCGTAATTCTTAGAAAAGGAAATCACATCACTCAGGTCAGGGAAGATTAACTCCAAGAAACATCTGTGCAATCAGCACACTTCTCCCATCCCTTGAAAAGATCCATCAAACAACAAATGTTGATAGCTAGAAATTTTAAAATACAAGAAAAAAGGATAAAGGAGAAAATGTAGGCTGGGCGAGGTGGCTCACATCTTAATTCAGTACTTTGGGAGCGCCCAGGCAGGCAGATAACCTGAGGTCAGGAGTTCGAGACCACGCCTGGCCACACGGGGAACCCCGTCTCTACTGAAATACAAAAATTAGCCTGAGCCTGGTGGTGTACAGCTGTAATCCCAGCTACTCAGGAGGCTGAGGCAAGACAGTCACTTGAGCCCAGGAGCGGCGGAGGTTGCAGTGAGCCAAGATTGCGCCACTGCATCCAGCCTGG